AATTCATGTTCGTTACCCTGACTTTTCTTTTGTTTGTTGGAACTGTTGGTCAGGATATTTTCCTCTCCCTTTTGTTTGAGGAAGGAAGGATGAGAAAGAAAACTGATGGTGGAGAGATGGCCCACAAAACCACTACATTTTTATCCTATATTTTCTTCAAGGTGGCATGGTTCCCCTGCTGCACTTTATCCTCGGAACAACTTTGTGAGGAAGGCCAGGCTGGATCATAGTGACTGGTCCAAAATCATCTTTTTGAGTGTCACGGCTGCGTAAGGATTTGAGCATGGGTCTCCCCAGTTGTAGCCTGACCCTCTCATCTCTACACTGCAGGTAGATAAAGAGACACTGGGAACAAACAGATTGGTTAACCGAGTGAGATTTCTCTGGGGGATTCCACACACCCCTATTATGTCACGAAATCGGTTTGCTTTGACTTGAGCCCCCATATATTGTTGGACTATAACTCCCATCATCCCTCACTTTGGCTAAGGTGACTCCGGATGATGGGAGGTGTAGTCCAGCAAATATCTGTGAACCGAAGATGGAAGAGCACTCTCCTAATTTGTATGGAAATTGGAGCGGCAGCTGTATGTATATTGACCAGGCTGCTCTGTGTACCCTAACCTCCATTCACCCTCCATTGTGCAGGAACCTTCATTCCGAAGCACAGGAGTGTGGCTGTGCTCTCTAAAACAAATCTGGAAACATGGGGAAGGGAGGGCACTCTTTCCAGCTAAAGCCCCTTTAAGCAACTAAGCCCTAGCGCTAAGGGGTTTTAGGAAGCATAACACAAAGTGGTAATTAAAGACCCCCTCCAGGACCCTTCCCCCAAGCTCCCTCCATAAGCAATTAATTACCAACCCTTCCAGGAGGGAGAAGGGAAGTTAATGACTTCTCCATGTAATGAGAGATAATTCTACTCCAGCCATCCTGCCCTTCTACACAGGCTGCCTGCTGTTGCCGCAACCAAGTGGCACAGATCAGCCAGCTTTGGGAAGAAGGCTGGCCCGGGTTCAAGTGACCAGGGGTCTTGTGTTCAGGTCCAGGGGGTGGGGTGTGTCTGAAGGACCCTGGCAAACTGGAGCACATCCAATGCAACAGCATCAGTTGTATCATGGAATATATCTTCTCTATTAAGGGTGCACAGAGAATCACAGAATACAATTGGAAGGGACCCTGAGGATCATCTAGTCCAACCCCCTGCAATGCAGGAATATGCAACTGTCCCTTATGGGGATCGAACCTGCAACCTTGGTGTTATCAGCACCACACTCTAACCAACTAAACTAGCTAGGCATGTCACAATGTTGTGGTTTATGTCAGGGACTGAGTGTGGTTTTCCAGACATCTCCACCTGGCTTGCAGGACTCCTCTCAGGTGCATCAGCCCTGCTATGCACCCTTCCTGGTCCTCGTTGGGTCACCTATCTCACTCCTTTGGCTCCTCCACAGGGGAAAATATCTTTCCCCACAAAGGGATCCACCAGGGGACTATTCCAGGGTCACAAAAATAGATAGAAAAATCTGGTTCTATAAGCATCATTTTTTTGGTGTGCCACCTTGTGCATGTGTATGGGATGACACAAAAATAGGAATATTAAACAATATTCAAATATAATAACATAAGAGAACCAACACTGAGAGCAACTGATACATTCAACTCTCTACTTTTTTCCTGCATGCCTTCACAAATAGGGCTCTGACACTGGTTCATGATTTATTGGGATTGAAAAATCCACAGCTTTCCATAAATAACGAAAAAAGAAGTGAACTCCTTGAGGTATCAGCAGGGCTCTGTTCATTCCATGCCCCTGCAAGAGGACTGACAGAGGAGAATTCATGGAGGCTTTCTCAATAGGGCTTATATTAATCTGGGAATAGCTCAGTCTGGTGGAGCCTGCAATGCAGAGGAACAAATAGCCAAACGTATCTTGGACAGAGTTAGGTCAGGGAGGATGGGAAGTGGTTGAGTGGGATAATCACATTGTCAATTAGGGTTATGACGGCTGTATTCTGTCCTTTCCCCAAAATGTCAGGGCAACATATATAGGATTATCCCTTTCTGCCCTCACAACGACCCTATGAGGTAGGCTAGTTTGAGTGTCAGGCCTTGTCACCTTTCAGAGCTGGAAACAGACAAAACCTCCTTATTAGTAGGGAACTGGATATTGGGGCTAGCAGGAGCCAGGAATAGGGTGGAACAGGGAACCTATAGAGAACCCTTGAGATCACACCCCAAGATTGTACCCCACTCAGGGGAATGTGCAACATTTTGGGGGGCTACTTGCCACAACTGGGCTCACCCCTGACAATGACTACCTGGTCCCCAAGAAGCGTAATGTGCCAGAGCGTGAACCTGAACGGAAGCTTGGCAGTGCAATGTTCATAGGACATTTCTTGTAGGAGGAACATCATCACCTTCATGGTCATGGACCTTAGTTCTCCAGGAAGGGACAGGGCAACCAAGATAAGAATTGAAACCCTTGAAATTGCTTGGAAGTTGCTGGTGGAATAACCTTTGTAGACCAGTCCCTAGACCTGGGGAGCTTCTAGCCAGCTGCTCTCTTGCTCAGCATCAGATTCACAACAGTTCATACCATGGACAGTTCCCTTGCTTGACTGAATGCCGAAATGGGAGACTGCAAGCATTGTGAGTTAGCATCTGCCTTGAGAGACAATGGTGGTGAAGTCTAGCTGCTGGAGAATCACAACACTTGCTGTGGCTGCAGAGACCGGTAACTTGTAAATGCCACATGCGTTGTTTTTGCTGCGTTAGCAACACTGACGTGACCTCTGCGGGGGTCAAGTGTCAGGAGCTAGCTGGCAGAAAATCACACTGTTCAAGTTGGAGTTAACTCTTTATTCGCATACGAGCTGTAGAAAAAAGCTTGCAGTCCAGTAATAGATCTCCACCACAAATTTGATGTAGGTAGATACAAGCACATGCCTTGGCTTTGCAGACAGTTATTCACATGAAGAAATTGGTGTGGATTGTGTATATCTGGGCTGAAATACGTGCATAATAAAGCCAGGCATTTTGCAGATTGTGAGCTTTTTGTTGTTGTTGCATTTTGTTCTTACATTTCTATACTAATTTCCACTCCAGGAGCTCAAGGTCTTCCCCCACTTTTTACCTCACAACAGCCTTGTGGGGTAGATTAGGCCCAGGCTCACCCCAGTGAGCTTCATGACCTAGTAGGGATTTGAACACAGGCCCTGCACTAACATAATACTACTACCGCACCATGTTGGATTATCACACTGGTGTCCTAGTTCTCTTAGATTGGAAATGTTATGGTGGCAGAATGGAGTTGATTGAGAAACTGTAGGTGGAATAACTTCTTTGCACATGTGAGCCTATCAAACAAATGGAACAACTTGGGGTGTGTGTGTGCAATAGCTGAATGACTACATTTCATGGCACCATGCCAGACAACTGTTTTGCACTAGTGCAAATGTTCACAAGGGGGTAGCCATGTGAGTCTGGGCATCCCCTGAAGAGAGCGATCACTGGGGGTTGGGGGAGGGAGGGAGGGAGAGAGAGATCAGGGCTGCAGACTAATTATGACCTTGTCACTAATGGCTGATGAAGCATCCATCACCATCTGGCCTCTGACTGGTCACAGGGATTGACTGACTCAGAGCAGCTATCTCAATCCTGGGGCTAATTGTTTTTGTTAAACTAGCAGACTCCCTACAGGCCTGCTCTGTTATCTTTTGCCCCCCTCCTTGCTTACACAGAGTAAATGGATTAGTTGGCAGATTGCAGAGAATAGATATTGAGGTCTGGCTGGTGGAAGCAGTGTAGGTGATAGCCCCTCACCCTTTTCTCTTGCCTTCCCTGCACTAGATTTTTCCTATAGCATCAGATGCTAAAAACTAAACAAAGATGAGCACCAGAGTATCATCACCATGTAAGTCAAAGTGAAATATCAAAAACCTAAGTTCAGCCAGACTTGCAGGTTTCAGAGTGATTGAAGTTGGAATCCCACAACCATTTAAACTGGGAATAAGTCCTGTGGAACTTAATTGTGCTTACTTCTGAGTAGACATGCACAGGATTGTACTGTTAAGCTCCACTGAATACACTGGGGATTACCTCTGGGCAAATAAGCATAAGGCTTCACTGTTAATTCATCACGGTTAATATTAAATCAAATAGGGATGGGGAAAGAAAAGATTTCAAGTGCTTGTCAATCAAGCCAGTTCTTTGGCATGTTTTGACCAGGACATAGAAAGGATTCATTAACAAGCAAGTGAGCGGAAAATTGCGTGCATGCTTCTCCTTAAATAAAGCAAAAGTAAAACAGGGGGTGGGAAATCTGTGGCCAATGGTCAAGGATGATGGGAGTTGCAGGCCTTCAACATATGGTGGGCCAAATGTATCCATTTCCTGGACTGCAGCGTGTGAATCACACCATGGTTGCAGTTGAGCTGCATTCCAAGAATTTCACAGGAGTTCCATAATTCAGTTTGAGGCCTCCTTCCCATGTGATCTCCTTGGTGTGACTCCTCATGCACCACTTTTTCTTCCATCAGTAACACCGGGTCTACTTGTGGATCCAGGGCATTCACCTGCCTGGGGGAGGGGGAAAATGCCCCATAAAATATTCAGTTCTGATCAGCAGCTGCCTTTGTAGGTTGACCGACCCTTTCCCTTTCATACAAGGTTTGCTATCGAGTCTCAGGGCGCGAGCAAAAGTTGATGATGTTGAGGGGTCAGGGCAGAGGTAGATCAAATGTCTGGAGAACACAGGCAGCCTTCATCTCTCTGGCCTCCGAGCTGATGGCTGAACAAATGAGCTGTAATCATCCCCCTGGGGAACGGCAGCACCGAGAGAGAGCAGGGCCTGGCAGCAGTTTTGTTAAAGCTGCGTTGGAGAGAAATGGTGCGGACAGATTCAATGTCACAGGTGGGTTTTGGTTACAGCATCCTGGCACCATCCCGGGCTCGCTGATGGGTCTTCAGCACCTTTCCTCGCCTCTTCTCCTGCGGCTGATGGTTCCACCTTTGGAGAGAGAGGCTAAAGATTAAGAGGATGACAAATAGGCATCTGCTTACACAGCGTTAAGGGCTAATCTGCCCTGCTATACTGCAAGAGCCTTGAAGAGAGGGGATTCTCACACAGGCGTAATACGCACACATGCACAACTACCCCAGAGACTCTCAAGGAGAGCAAGGCTCTCCATGCTTTGTCAAAGGACACCTGGTAGGCTTAGACTGGAGAGCTCTTCCCATGGAAGATTCTTGGCTGGGTTGAAGAGTTCAGTCACTATTGCAGAGACGTGGCCAGCCCACAGACTGGATGCAGCTGCTTCTGGGCCAACACCTAAGGAGCAAGAGGCTGGATTAGTTAACACAGCAAAGGACAAGTTGCAGAAAGCAGGGAGCTGAGGCATCCGGCCTCTCAACAGGATCAGCCACCAGCATGGCTGTCTCCCCTACAGACTCAACAATGAGCAAACGGATGGAGGGCAGCCAGGCAGGTAAGTAAGTGGCATCACTGCCCTTTGGACCATGTTTCTTTCTTCCCCCTGCCCCTTCCATTCAGGTCTGAGGTTTCTTCTTCTTCCTTGGAACAGGCCTAGTTGCAATGGACTGGAAGGCACCAATGGGTACTGCAATTTGGTACCAAAGGCACTGGAAGCTGTGGCAATGGATGTGGCTGATGATGCTAGTAAGCGTTAGAGCCAAAGAGAACCTCTCTCTCATCATGATTCCATAGTTTTCACCTCTGAGCTCAGATGGTGAGCTCATCTCATCTGACTTTCCTGGAGCAAAGTAATAGGAATATACTTTATACCAAGGCAGACTATTGCTCCTTTTACCTTAGAATTGTCCGCCCACTGGTAGCAGCTTGCCAAGATTTAAGACATGGGTATTTCCCAGCTCTACTTGAAAGATGGCAGGGATGGAACAGGAGATCTTCTGGATACAAAGCATGTGATCTGTCACTGAGCAAGAGTCAGACCTCTTCTGAAGAATCAGAAAGTGAGGGAGGTCACTGGAGTCCCACAAATGAAACTATGAAAACTTCAGTCCAGGTGACGCCTTTAATCCTCAAGGCCACCACATGTGGAGGAGTGGCCTTTGTTTATTTGCACGTAATGAATTCATTTAGGGCAGCAGTTTTCATTTGGGGACTCATTTCTTAATGTATTTTTTTACCATAGATTTGTATGGCTGTGGTACAGCTGTTGTGACCCATCTTAGGTCAGGCCCCAACCCAATAAAGGGGCCCGACCCACTAGGTGCAGACCAATGATTAAGAGATGTGGACATTTCAAATTGCCAATTTTCTAGCACTTGGATAAAACTGAACAAATGAGTGATTAAACAAAACTCTCCCACCACCCCCTGAAAAGAAAAGGTGGACCAGAGTGGCTAAATACTTATCTCTTAAACTATCAGGTAAATTTAGGATCCTGAGAGCCAAAGTAGACTAGTGATCAGTATGTTGGGCTAGGATATGGGAGACTTGGGTTCAAAGAGGCCCTCCATCTTAGGACTCTCTTTTACAGGTGAAATAGGATATATAAAAGAAGATTTTAAAAATAAATAAATCTGAAGATAAAAAACAAAACGAAGTAGAGTTTTGTTACCTAGCTAGTTTATTATGGCTTGACCCATCAGATACATTGAGCAAACCTAGAAATTGGTGGGGAAGTATAAACTCAGTTTGTGGTGTGGTGTAGAATAAACAAAATTAACAGTCTGATAACTAAAGATAATGATGTCAGGAAAGCAGCTTCCTGTTATTACTTTGCTCTCTGAGTTGTGCTTTGATATAGTAAAATATCATATGTGATTGAAGGGGTCCTGTTGACCCGGGGGAGGGGAATCCTAATTGTATCTCTGGTATATTAGAAACTCAATTTTTTTTAAAAAAAATTTTAATTTAAAAGATAAGCTGCCTGTTGGTTACCTTCCAAGTGCAATGCTGCGCTTTGGTTTAGTTTTACTTTTTCTTGTTTAACTTGTAACTGTTTTACTTGTTGTAACCTCCCTTGGGACCTTGTGTTGAAGGGTGGAAAATAAAGTGTGTGTGTGTGTGTGTGTGTGTGTGTGTGTGTTTCACACCGGTGGACTGTTGTTGTACAAAATAAAGCATGAGCAGGTGGCTGGTAACTTTGCCACACAATAGATTGTGCAATCTGTTGCACAAGTTTCTTCTAGCACAACTGTTGTGTTGGATTCTTCTGTTGTGCGATGTTAAAACTCACCTGTCCGTCCCTGTGCCGGTGGATGGGGACACAGGATACAGCCCACTGTGTGTGTGTGTGTGTGTGTGTGTACACACACAAAAATACGTTTTCTTTGTTATTCCAGTTCTGTCCCCAACAGATGGAAGTGAGTCCATGGAGAACTGCTCTTTTATGAGAGGGTGTGTGTGTCAAGTAAATAAAGGGGTCCCGCAATGAGGGACCAAGCTCCTTACCTGCCCCCCACCTTTCCCCTGGATTTGTCGTCATTCAAAACATGTGGAGATCTTCTCTCTTTTTCATTTCATTTTAAAATTATCTCTATCTTCCTTTCTTCTTTATATTCTTTTATCTGCTTTGCTTTTGTTTATGTTTTCTTTTGTTCTTTGGTGTCCTCTGCTCTGGGTTAAAGAGGGTACGCACTCGAAGGTGATGTCCGGCTGGTGTAAGACCCTGAGTGAGAGGCAGGGAAGGAGAGATCTTCACCACTTTTGGTGAGAGACAAGGGTTAAGATTTACCTTCGAGAGAGCTTTGTATTCCCCTCTCTTTCTCTTTTCCTTTCCTTTTTTCCTCTCCCCCCCCATTCTTTTTATTATTTAGTTTGTTTTTCATTGTATTTTATGGTGAAAAGTTTCAATAAAAATCTATGCAGAAACTCAAAACATGTGTGGAGAAAATGCCCCTGTTTCATTGTGTGGTGCTCCATTAAGATGCCTAGATAGCTCCATTGGTAAGTGCATGCTGCTGATAACACCAAGGTTGCAGGTTTGATCCCCATATGGGAGAGCTGCGTATTCCTACGTTGCAGGAGGGCTAGATCCCCAGGGCCCCTTTCCAACTCTACAGTTCTATAATTCCGTGATCTGTCCAGCCCCCTGATGCCTCTCTTGTTTGTCGCTAATAGGACTCAGCCTGACTCCCAGCAAAGCTGGCAGCCCCATGTTGCTGTGCAAGGTGTGTGGAGACACCAGCAGCGGAAAGCACTATGGCATATATGCTTGCAATGGCTGCAGTGGGTTTTTCAAGCGTAGCGTCCGCAGGAAGCTCATCTACAGGTAAGGGTGACATCTGTCCCCAGTAGGGCTCAGAATATTTAATGTATCAATGCATTAATGTGTTAATTGCATTTATACCCCCATCTTTCCTTCTGCCTAATGGGAGGGCTGGTCCCTCTCAACTCCTCCCTCCCTTCTCTACTTTAAGATAGTTATGGGGGCTCCAGGTTTGATCTGAATTAGGGATCTGGATTTTACCAGACCCACGCCAGCATTCAAACCACTGCACCACAGTCATCACCAGCTCTCATCAGCCCCAGCAAGCATAGTCCATAGACAGGAACGATGGGAATTGTGGTTCAGTGACATCTGGAGGGCCACATGTTCCTCACCCCTGATCTGCCACCTGATCCAGTGCACTGCATTGTTCCTTTTGACAGGTGCCAAGCTGGCACAGGTATGTGTCCGGTGGACAAAGCTCACAGGAACCAGTGCCAAGCCTGCCGGCTGAAGAAATGCCTGCAGGCTGGAATGAACAAGGATGGTGAGTAGAGACTGGGAGACCAGGAAAAGGCTCTCACCTGTTGGGCTTCCAATGCCAATACATTATTTGTGGGAACGTGGGTGGCGCTGTGGTCTAAACCACTGTGCCTCTTGGGCTTGCTGATTGGATGCTTGGTGGTTCAAATCCCCACAACGGGGTGGGCTCCCATTGCTCTGTCCTAGCTCCTGCCAACCTAGCAGTTTGAAAGCATGCCGGTGCAAGCAGATAAATAGGTACCGCTGCAGCAGGAAGGTAAACAGCATTTCTGTGCACTTTGTTTTCCGTCAGTGTTCTATTGCGCCAGAAGCAGTTTAGTCCTGCTGGCCACATGATCCAGAAAGCTGTCTGTGGACAAATGCCAGCTCCCTTGGCCTGAAAGCAAGATGAGCGTCGCAACCCCATAGCCACCTTTAACTGGACTTAACCATATGGCTGGTGGGACCACAGCTTCCCTCCCAAGCCTCTGCGGGGATCACTCTCCTCCCGAGGAGGCTTGGGAGAGAAGCTGAGTGCCCGCCAGCCTTATGGTTGGCAGGGCGCAGCTGGCGGGCATGCAGGGAAAGGGGAGGCCACCGGCAAAGCCGCACAGCTCCCCCACTTGCTGGGGCACCCCTGAGAGGCTGGCAATCTGGCGCAACACACCACTACGCCCTATGGGAAAGACGGCTTTGCTGCCAACCCTTTGATCTGTTTGCTTTGCTGTTGACCTCTTGCCTGTCCTGCCTCAGCTGTGCAGAATGAACGCCAGCCCCGCAGCACAGCCCAGGTGCGACTCGATGCCGTTGACTTGGATCCCGACAGGCAAGCTGAACACCTGACCACAACGCGGGATGTCCTGCTGCCACCACCACCGCCACCCTGCCCCTCCCTGCCGAGCCACAGGGGCCCCACCACCTGCTCTGCAACAGGGGCTCCAAGGGGCCGACCCACAACTCCTCCCAGCAACCACCGCTTCATGGCCAGCCTGATGACAGCTGAGACTTGTGCCAAGTTGGAGCCAGAGGATGGTCAGTGGCTGGGCATGGGTGCAGAGGGGGGAGGCAGGCAGTATGCCAAGGAAGTGATAGGGCACATCTGGTCATCCAGTTGTTGTTGAACTACAACTCCCAGCCTCCCCACTCATTGTCCAACAACAACTAGAGGTCTACAGGTTCCCCATTGCTGCTCCTGAACATGTGGCCTTGGTGACATCCTACTTCCAGCTTTCCTTAAAACCACAGAAGACAGCTGGTGCAGATGCATTGATACACACCATGGCTGGTTTTGAGTGGCTGTACTGGATTCAACCAAGCCTGTGAGACCTTCCTCTGCTGCCCCCTAGTGAACATTGATAGTACTGCCTCAATTGGGCTTCCAGCTCCTCCTAGTTTTGCCTTGTTGTTCACTGAAATTTCTAGTCTCTGCAGTTACAGTGGCCAGGTGTCCATCTTAATAGGAGGACTGCTTCATACAGTCATTTATCTGGAGGGCTGTCAGAGGAGAGCTTGGTTAGAAGGGCTTTTAGACCAACTGAAGACCATAATTGAAATTGTCCATCAACGCTGTGCATTTCTGCCAAGTGATCTCGGGTGGCGATGTGTTAAGTGGCTGCCCTCTGCGAACATTTCCTTCAGAACAGATGTGTCTCTAAACTTGCAAATCTGCAGCTCTACAGTGTTGACAGGATGATTCTCCCTTCTGCAGCCGAGGAGAACATTGATGTCACCAGTAATGAGCCAGAGCGCCCAGCAGGAGAGGCACACGTGTCCCCATATCCCCCCACCAGCTCCGAGAGTGTCTATGAAACCTCCGCCCGGCTACTCTTTATGGCTGTAAAATGGGCAAAAAACTTGCCGGTCTTCTCAAACCTGCCCTTCCGAGACCAGGTGAGCTCCTGGGCCAAGTCCAGTGGTGGATTACTTGGGCTCAGGCAAAGGCAGGGGTGGGGGCTGGCAACATATGTTGAAGAGGGGCCATAATTCAGTGGATGAGCATTTGCCTTGCCTGCAGAAGGTCTCGATCGCTGGCATTTCTAGGTTGGATAAAGAGAATCTCCTTTTTTCTCTTTTATTGAAGAACAGGATATTTTAATGCCATCATCATCACAGAGGCATCTGTGGAGGGGATATATTGATTGAAAATGTCTAGTAAACCAGGTCGGTAGTTGGGTTCCTATTCAGGGTATTTGGTGAGCCAACATGACAGTGCTGTAGGACTGAGGATTGGAGTGATCATTCTGATTCTATGGCAGTGGACAAAACTTTATTGTAATTTTTAATAAATGTGTGTGTGTGTGTGTGTGTGTGTGTGTGTGTGTGTGTGAGAGAGAGAGAGAGAGAGAGAGAGAGAGAGAGAGAGACTCTAGCCTAAAACCCCGGAGAGTGTCTGCCAGTCAGTGTAGACAAGACTGAGATGGATGACCTAATGATCTGACTCAGTATAACACAACTTCCTATGTTTCTGTTCTTGGCTCTTATTCTCTTCTACTTGAGCTTATTCACTGAACCAGGAAGCATCCAATTGTACCAAAATACTAGCTCGATGTGTTAACTTCTACAGGTAAAAATAGCACATGCTCTAAATCAGGGTGGGGAACCTCTGAAAGCTCCCCCCTCCGTGGCCCACGAGGGCCTCTTGGCTAAGCCACACCAACTTGCCATGTACCTAACATTATATATGACCATAGGCGCCGACTCCATGGGGCTTGAGGGGGCCCGAGCCCCCTCAAAAATTCGTTTGGGGGGGCTCCGCCCCCCCAATAATCTCCAGCGCCCCTCCAGCAGAGCGCCATCGCCGCCCTCCCCCAGCCCAAAATGCACAGGGAGGGGCGGGCTGCATGCCTCCTGCCCTCCCTCCCGAGCAGAAGCTCCACCCAATTTCCTTTGGAGCTGATTAATAGGCGCAGCACGCTCTCCCCTATTCGCTCACGAGGAGGCGGTGCCACTTTATTTGCATATTCATGAGCTTATTTATTATTCATGAGCTTTCCCGGGCCCCCCCCCCAATATTTTTTATAAGTCCGCGTCCCTGTATATGACATCAGGTATGGGGCAGTTGAACACACAGCTAGGCTAAAGGTGATTTGCAGGAGCGACTGCTGATCAGTGGCATCTGCAGAGGCTTGCACATAGCACTCTGTAAGCACCAATGCTCAGCTGAGCCTAAATTTACATATATTGCTATACAGTGATACTGACAAATTTAGAACCAGATGTATCTTTATCTATAACTGAGGTGGTGAACTTGTGGGCCGCTCTGTCTTATTGGACTCCAACCCCCATCAGCCCCAGCCAGAATGGTCAATTGGCAGGGATGAATGAGTTGGTAGTCACAGATTCCCCAGTCCAATTTATTAAAAATGGGGAAATAAGGCACAGGCATTTTGGCTAAGTTGTCACATTATGTAACGACTAAGGAAGGCAGACAACAAGGTAATTGGTTTTGTGAAAACTAGTGCTTGTTGGAAGTGTAAAATGCATTTTTGTGAACACAGAGCATCCATAATCTGTTATCTAGTCTAGAGTGTCCTGTCCTTTGCAGGTGATCTTACTGGAGGAAGCCTGGAGTGAGCTGTTCTTGCTGTGTGCCATCCAGTGGTCTTTGCCACTGGAAAGCTGCCCCCTCCTCTCTGTGTCAGAGCTGACCCCCACCCTCAATGGAAAGGTCCTGTCTTCAGGAATGGACATTCGTGTCCTGCAGGAAATAATTGCACGTTTCAAAGCGCTTGGTGTGGATCCCACTGAATTTGCCTGTATGAAGGCAATTGTACTGTTCAAACCAGGTGAGCGGGCTGTCAGGAAGAACATGTAAATCATAGAGAAAATTGTGCATTTCCTGAAAATTACAGTTATAGTTTAAAAGTGCCCCCCAGTAATGTTTTTCATGCAAATTACATCATTGTTTTTCAATAATTTATCCTGGCTTTGCTCCTTTCCCCTCCTTGTGCTTAGCACTGGAGGACCACCCTTCTGACGTCTCAGCAGGTATTTCCCATATACTTTCAAAGAAGTATTTGCATTCATGAAAGCTAGAAGCTCAAGATGGTGTGCCAAATGAGTTACTGTCCATTTCCAATTCTCCTTCAAGGCTGCTGCATCCTCTGTCTTCAAAATATTCCATGAGACCCTAATCCTGTTTTAAGATCTGCAGTAGAACAGCGTCGGTGTACACATATTTTTCCTTAAGAAGAAGTCTTCTGTTTCTTTTGCAGAAACACGAGGTCTGAAGGATCCAGACCAGGTTGAGAATTTGCAGGATCAGTCTCAAGTGATGCTGGGACAACATAACCAATTACATTACCCCAGCCAGCCAGTCAGGTACCTACAGCTGAGTGCTCCTCCTTGCTGTTATCTTCTCAATTCCTCCTTCTGAATGCATTCATTCCAACCCAGCCCAGGCAACATGGTAGTGCTAACTAAGCCAGTGCTTCTCTAGCTGTTGTTGGACTACAACTCCCATTATCCCTGACCACTAGAAATTGTTGGAAGAAGGTCGTCTCCATTTCTCCGCTCTCAAATGTGGTGGAAAATTTTGGGATATAATTTTAACCTAACCTATACTTTTGTCTCTTCCTCCCAGGTTTGGAAAGCTGCTTCTGCTTCTGCCTTCGTTGAAAGTTATTTCTTCAGACCGCATTGAGCTTCTTTTTTTCCGTAGGACCATTGGGAACACTCCCATGGAGAAGCTGCTCTGTGACATGTTCAAGAACTGACGCCTCCAAGATTCCAGAATGCCAGTATTTCTATTTTAAAAACCTTGAACCAAGCACAAGACACAAGCAAATGCTTCCTCGTGAATAGGCTTTGGCTTGTCATAGACTGGAAGGTGGCATTTGGCTGCAGACCAGGAAAGTCGCTAGGACCCAAACACTGAATTTTTACAAGGAGTGTTAATAGTTACCTGAAGTCACACCCTCTTATTATGGGACCCTTCTTATTCATTCCAAAGAGGCAGTAGGTTTGGATGTATGTATGTATGTATGTATGTATGTATGTATGTATGCATATGCGTGGAGATGCACTTTGTACTTGCTCAGAGAACTCACCATTGTTTCCATGGCCGAGTTTTGGCCTTGAAAGCAGGTTCTGGGACTCAAATTCAGCTCTAATTTTAACTATAAAACTTGCTCCTTAGTGCTGTAAAGTGCTTCTAGCCCACAAAGCTTAGAATGAACAAGTAGCACATTTTCCTTTAAAGACAATCAAGTGTACTTCTACAATTCATAGAAGAGGAAACACAGTGGAAGGGGGCGTTTTCCTCTACCTTACCAAAGGAGAGCACCATGGAAGAGTGTAAGAACACAGTGATTGGAAAATGCAGCCTCTAAAAGGGGGCTTCCTGATTATTTAAAAATTAAGACTTTTCTTGGCTATCATCCTGTATTGAAGTAAGTTTTGAGGACAATCAAGGCACACCACAGCTTGTACATAAAACAAAGAGAAGGTTGAGGCACATGCCTGGCCCTAAGCCAACAGAAATGCTTGACTCTGCCCTTTCATACTAAGTAGGAGATGTTAGCTCTGAACTTTTTATGTGACAAATGAGACCAGTTTGAAGGCAGAATCCCTTTCTTAGGGGCTGCTGATTCAGGAATTGAGGAATTTGCTGGCTCTTGGGCTTGTATAAGTATTAATAAACTGGAAGCTTGTATACTTTTTGATTTTTTTAAAAAAATCTGTTTACTGTTTGCAGTTCTGACCCATTCACCTCGTTTGGAAAGTCACCTAGCTGAACGGATCCAGTTTCAGGCCTGGATTGGGGCTCATAATCTATAGTTCAGATGGGTTTGAGAGTGTTGCCTTTCTACAGCAATCCAATCCTAGACTTACTACAGCGGACACCCACTGTCTTTCTAGAGATTGCCAGACTGCAAACTGGAGAACATCATTTATATGAAGAACTGATGATCCAGTTCTGTGGAAGACCCCTACTCCCTTTGGTTAGGCTTCGATTTCAAGACAATCAATAAGGTTGTTGATGACAGATGACAACAAACTGAACTTGCCGGAATGTCAGGAACAAACTCTTTTTATAACCAATGACTAGTGCCTGGAATAGAGGCATAAGGAGAGAAAGCGTGTAGCATTCTGCTAGGGACAGAGTAATGAAAACCTATAACCAGTTCTCCTGCTCCTGTTTTTCTAGAAGGGGAAATATAAGAAGTTTATATGGAAGGGCAGTCATACTCAGGTTAGCGGGATGAAAGCATCCAACATACTAAGAAAAGGGTTAATGTTCACAATGGCTATAGCATGCCAAGAAAGGATTCTGGGATGTCATATACCTTTTTCCAGAGGCAGTTTGTACAGTTATGAACAGTCTTATGTGTGACAGCAGCTGAGCAGTCCATCTGTTCAGCTGCTGTCTGCCTCAGAGTTAGTCAGTCTGAAGGAGTGTTTATTTTAGATAGAAACCTATGTAAAATGTATTAGTAACCTAAGTATCACCTGCCTGTCTTGTACATTTAATCTAACAAGTGCAAATACACTGAGTAAAAGTTATTTGTTATTTAAACTTTAAAAACAGAGTGTCTTGCGTAATTTTAAATGACCCCATCTCTTCTTTCGCACAGCTCTGTAAATGGGAACTTGAGTCTAATTCCCACAAGATTCTGCTACTGCAGGCATCAGGCATTTGCTAGGGTGGCAAGTGTGATGGAAAAGTTTGTTTGTTGGGCAAATTGGGTCACCAAGTGTTTTTCTTTCTTTTCTTTTTCCTGCCAGCAACAGGTTAACAAACGGCAGCATCTGATTGGCCAGGGTCCAGCAGTGGCAGTTTAAAAGGAGAGGATTTGGAGGTTGTGAGGTTGGGAGATAGGGAGTTGGTTCCACTCTGAGGAATATATCAAAAGCTACAGAAAGGAGTCTCTGAGCTTAGCCTGAAGGACAGTGTGTGGTGTCCTGTGAGAATAATAGGCCAGGAAATAACTGGGAGGCTGAGCCAGGAGAAGTAGAAGCTGTAAAAGAGACAGTCTACTTAGGTCTCATTCCAGTCAGGAGGGGAGAGATTCTTCTAGAAAGAGAAGACTCGCAAACCAGTTAAGAGGGGTGTGGCAATCCCTTGGGTCTGTTACTTGGAGTACCTCAGGAGGAGGATTGTCAAAGGGGCGTGTAACTGACAGAAAGTGCCGCCTTGTTTAAGAACCAAAGTATTAAGCGATAACAGCTATGCAACACCTGAGAAAGAACTGAAGTGAAATAACTGGAAATAAGCTGAGCATTTACGATTTAGTCTAAAAACCTGTAATCTCTACCTGAAGCGAAGTAACTGAACAAAAGCAACTGAAGTTTAAAAGAAGCTGTGCTTGATTAAGAGTCCATAACATCAGTTAGATTTAGTATAAATGTTATAAGGTGAATGGTTACCTGAATAACATTATAACCTGAAGTACCCTTTGTTTTACCCACTTTGTGTCAAAAACTTCCTTTGTTTAATAAAACCTTTCTTGTTTGTTTGATCAAATCCTGTTTCAGACTCCAAATCATTAAGTTTTCCCTCACACAAGTCCCCCACTAGATAATCTGGGGTAAATAGAAGTAGTTCATGTAATTGGTGTACCGTGAAAGGGCGGTTGTACCATCGCAGCAAGTATAACTATCCTAGCCCCAGAAACAAAGCCAATCGACACAATCGATTTAACAATACTGTTTTGCTGAACATCAATATTAAGCAAAATCAAAACAAAATCAGAGACTACTTGAAGCTCTTTGATAGTATTATGGTCATTGAAGTTCAATGTAAAGATGTTGGTTTTTTTTAACTTCTCCCCACAATGTGGGACTTAACTTTCCCCCCTTAATGTGGGACATTTAAGCCAGGAAGGTAAATGGGGGGGGGGATGCTAGAATTAGATTTGAGGGCTCGCAGTGTTAAACAATGGAAGGTAGTCTGTTTTTTTGCATCCTTATGAGGCAACTCCCACCAGTTCCTTGGATTTGGAGTTTGTCATAAAATAGCTGTAAATGGGGGGGGGGGGGCTCCAGTTCTTGACTTTAGCAGTAATGTATGTATCTTTTAAAGTGGACCTTTGGGGAGCCCCATTTTTTAAACAGACTGATTGTGACAGCAGCCCTCCTTACTGCTTCTCCACCCATCTACATTTTGCTTGAGTAATGTGATTCTGGGAGTGACTTTTCCCCCCTGTCCATCAGTCTGTTTGTGGAGCTTTTTGCTCATGTAGCAGCACCGAGTGCCCAGGGCAAAGCCAGAAAAGCAAAGAATTCTACCTCCTAATATTTATGCTGCCTATCCTGTGCCCTGAAAACAGAACACTTGTTGTGGTTATGGCTATTGAACATTTGGCACAAATATCTGGCACTGCCCTACTGTACTTGGAATCAAACTGGCATTCGTTATTCTGACCTTTTTTTCTTTTTTTAAGCCAAAAAGCTCTATTTTTCCACAACAGGTATGCACCTGACAGTTGTCTGAAAATTGCTTGGGTAGAAATGAACATTTTTAAATATCTGACAACACAATGAAGTGAAAAAGGAATAGCTTCGAACAAGAGCTTGGTCTCTTTTATGCTGCAGGTCCTTCTAAGAGGGCCCATGCTTATGAATCCCAGTGCAAAAACCCAATCCCTGAATTCGGCTGCTTTGACAGCTGGGATCAATAATAGGTCCCTGAACTTGAAGCAGCAAGATGCCATGGATGAGATGTTACAATTTAATCAGTTCCCCTGCTCTTGGCTTTTCTAGTAGGGGAAAGATAAGATGTTTATATGGAAGGGCAATCACACTCAGATGAAAGCATCCAACATGCAAAGAAAAGGGTTAATGTTCACAAGGGCTATAGCATGCCAAAAAAGTATTCTGGAATGTCATATACCTTTTTCCAGAGGCAGTTGGTACAGTTATGTCAGTTATGAACAGTCTTATGTGTGACAGCAGCTGAGCAGTCGGTCTGTTCAGCTGGTGTCTGCCTCACAGTTAGTCAGTCTGTAGGAGTTTTAGTCTTAGATACAAATCTATGTAAGATGTATTAGTAACCTGAGTTACACCTGCCTGGCTTGTACATTTAATCTAACAAGTGCAAGTACACTGAGTAAAGGGTATTTGTTATTTAAACTTTAAAAAGAGAGCATCTTGCGTAATTTTTATAGGAGGGGAAAGGGAACTAATTAAAGGGTTAAACAACCCAGTCTCTTCTTTCGCATAGCTCTGTAGATGGGAACTAGGGTCTAATTCCCACAAGATTCTGCTACTGCAGGCATCAGGCATTTCCTAGGGTGGCAAGTGTGACGGAAAAGTATGTTTGTTGGGTAGGTTAGGTCACCAAGTGGTTTTCTTTCTTTTCTTTTTCCTGCCAGCAACCGGTTAACAAACGGCAGCATCTGATTGGCCAGGGTTCAGGGGTGGCAGTTTAAAAGGAGAGGATTTGGAGAGACAGGTTGAGAGGTTGGGAAATAGGGAGTTGGTTCTGGGCAGAAACATCCACTCTGAGGAATATATCAAAAGCTACAGAAAGGAGTCTCTGAGCTTAGTGTGAAGGACAGTGTGTGGTGTCCTGTGAGAGTAATAGGCCAGGAAATAACCTGGAGGCTGAGGCTGAGCCAGGAAAAGTAGAAGCTGTAAGAGAGACAGTCTACTTAGGTCCCATTCCAGTCAGGAGGGGAGAGATTCTTCTAGAAAGAGAAGACTCCCAAACCAGTTAAGAGGGGTGTGGCAATCCCTTGGAGTACCTCAGAAGTAGGATTGTCAAAGGGGCGTGTAACTGACAGAAAGTGCCACCTTGTTTAAGAACCAAAGTATTAAGTGATAACAGCCTTGCAACACCTGAGAAAGAACTGAAGTGAAATAACTGGAAATACACTGAGCATTTACCATTTAGTCTAAAACCTGTAATCTCTACCTGAAGCGAAGTAACTGAACATAAGCAACTGAAATTTAAAAAAAGCTGTGCTTCATTAAGAGTCCATAACATCAGTTCGATTTAGTATAAATGTTATTAGGTGAACAGTTACCTGAAATAACATTATAACCTGAAGTACCCTTTGTTTTACCCACTTTGTGTCAAAAACTTACTTTGTTTAATAAAATATTTGTTTATTTGATCAAATCCTGACTGAGACTCCAAATCATTAAGTTTTCCCTCACACAAGTCCCCCAGTAGATAATCCGGGGTAAATTGAAGACATTTGTGTAATTGGTGTACCGTGAGGTGGTTGCACTATATGTAAATGAGGGATGGCCCGTCGGTACCAGGGTGAGAAAGGGCTGTTGTGCCGTCGCAGCAAGTATAATCATCCTAGCCCCAGACACAAAGCCAATTGACACAAACAGAAAAACCTACATGGCAGACTTCTCCTGTGAAAGTACCATTGCAGAACATCTAATGATCCTAATGAAAAATCATATGTTTGAATAGTTCTCTGTTTAAAAACCTAGCAACCTTCCTGCATGTAGAAAAGTAGTACATTAGGGGAGGGGATCTCTGGAGAGAGAGAGAGAGAGAGAGCGCAAGAGAGAGAGCTCTCCTGCCACCTAGTGATTAAAATGTGCCCTTACAGCCTGAAGTGGCATAGTCCCAGAACCACATAACTTATATGGCCTTGTTAACACTTCCCTGCTTCTAACTTAGGTTTCATGCTCTCAATATTCCCCTCACTGTCTCCCAGAGACACAAAAGCCTTTGTCTAGATGGTTGATTTTGATCATCACCTTGTATGGAAAACATCTGCCACAATCACTTTATTTTCAATTGTTTTCTTCTTTAATAAGCTAGAAGTTATTTGTACATAATGTCGTTTTTGTACAGCCATATAGTATAATTTTTACAAAATATTACACAAATCGCACTTTGAATATGATGGCCTTTTTCCAGGAAAGAGAAACAAAAATAACATTAATTTTAAAAACTTAAGAAACCTCCAGACATGAAAACTGACTGCGTAACTGCAAGCCAGCTGGTTTAGTGAGCAAAATAAAGCATTTTCCTTTATAGAATTCTTTAAACATGTAAGATTTATAGAGTATAACACAGAAAAATATATCCTTTTACAATACATAAGTCTTTTAAAATTTACACTCAGTATACTTATAAATTACTTTTTAAAAATCCATTAAAAATAACTATATGCAGTCAACATCCTTTCTAGTAGTGAGTATATTCACTTAATACCATGAGTGGGGAGGAAAAATTCCAAGACCCTGTACAGTGGTACCTCGGGTTACATACACTTCAGGTTACATACGCTTCAGGTTATAGACTCCGCTAACCCAGAAATAGTACCTTGGGTTAAGAACTTTGCTTCAGGATGAGAACAGAAATCAGCGCGGCAGCAGCAGGAGACTCCATTAGCTAAAGTGGTGCTTCAGGTTAAGAACGGACCTCTGGAATTAATTAAGTGCTTAACTCGAGGTAGCACTGTATCAAAAACAAAACAAACAGTGCAACAACCAAAACTCTGGCTTGGACCCATCTGAATTATGTAATTGTATCTCCTCCCAGTGGCGTAGCGTGGGGGGTGCAGGGGGGCCGGCCGCACTGGGCGCAACATCTTGGGGGGGGGTGCTAATCTAGTGGAAGAGACTCAAGTGCTAAAATCCACAGGTTAGGGGGCGCAAATTACTTGCCTTGCCCCGGGTGCTGACAACCCACGCTACGCCACTGTCTCCTCCTCCCCCAATAAGGCCTATATTAAGACATAAATTTCAGCAATTGACTGAAATACAGCTTAAAATCGAATTAAAATCAAAATAAGTTCAGGTGGCGACCCACAAATTATAACTATAACTATAGGAGTTGGAAACCTTAAGTACTCACCAGGGTCA